AGGGAAGCCAAGACAGAAATTACCACCAAGAATGCAGTACTTGAGAAGGATCTCGTTGACCAGCAAAAGCTTCTTGCCGAGCAGGAGAAGCTCACCAAGAAATTTGAGGCCCAATGCCACGACCTTGAGAGGAGCGTCGGCGATGCTCACTTTGTCACCAAGGAGACTGAGAAATCCCTCATCAACAGGATTGCCGCTCTCGAGATGATTAAGAACACCATGGAGATCCGTGCCACCGGACTTGAGACGGAACTCATCCGCAAGGGCACTGAGATTGGCGACATCACCGCCGAGCGTGACCTTCTCCGTATGGAGGTCGACAAGTACAAGCCCCAAGTCGATGAACTCAACCGGGAGAACGGCGCCCTGATAGAGGCCAAAAAGGGTCTGGAGGCACGGATCGACGACCTCGATCAACAGAAGAAGGGTCTCGAGGCAAACATCGAGAAGCTCGAGGCAGAGAAGAAGGACGCCCAAGCCAGCTTCGATGCCCTTGAGGCCGAGAAGAAGGGCCTCGAAGCCGACATGGAGAAGCTTAACACCGAAAACAACGACATTCAGACCCGCTTTGGCGCACTTGAAGTCGAGAAGCAAGAGGTTGAGGTCCGCCTTACCCAGCTCGAGACCACCAACACCGACATCCAGATCCGTTTTGAGAGTCTCGAGGCCACCAAGGGCGAGCTTGAGCTCAGCAAGGGTGAGCTCGAGACCCAGGTGAAGGACCTCGCGGGCTTCAAGACCAAGTACGACAAGCTCAGAACCCGCATCGAAGGGCTCAAGGGCAAGAACACGACACTCCAAGGACAGGTCGGCGAGCTTCTCAAGGACCAAGACGACAAGATGTCTCAGATCTCTAGTCTCGCAGAGGAACGTGACATACTCCGCTCGGAGAATGAGTCGCTCAAGGACGAGAATGAGTCCGTCACTAGCGAGCTCCGACGTGCCGAGTCACTCATGGGATCTATCGCCGGCTCTCTCCCTGGTTCACTTGCACCTTCAGTTATCGGCTCCGCCGCCCCGTCCGTCATCGGCTCGGCAGATGACAGCGATACAGACACTGTTAAGGGTGAGGATGATGAGGCTCCGCCCCCTCCCGAAGAGGCTCCTCCAGCTCCCCCGGCGCCCGAGGAAGCACCCCCCGCACCCCCAGTGGAGGAGCCTCCTGCGGTCCCCGTCATCGAAGTCATCGAAGAGGCTGAGGTTGTCGAAGATGCCCCGACGCCGGTACCTGAGGAAGTCAAAGACGACACCGCCAGCGTCACCTCGGCGGCACCCTCTGAGCTTTCCAAGGCCGCTCCGGAGCCCGAACCCGAAGTAGTGGAGCCTGAGCCTGCCCCAGCTCCCGAGCCGGAGGCAGCGCCCGTCGGAGCCGATGCCGTCTCCGAGAAGGCCGAGTCCGTATCCGCCGAGTCTATCACGCCCTCCGAGCCGGCAGTCATGGAGGAGCTCCGCAATCGCATCGCTGAGCTAACGGACCGCAACGATCAGCTGCAGTCCGAGACCGTCAAGCTCGGCTCCCTTACCGCTGAGCGTGACGACCTCGTCACTCGCGTCGCGAGATTGGAGACGGAAGCCGTCATGGCGCCTGCGCTCCGCCAGGAGAATGCGACCTTGACGTCGCAGCTGTCTCTCGTCAATACCCAGCTAGACGGCATGCGCGCTTCCTACGACGCCTCGGTCGCTGAGGTCAACAGCCTCAAGGACCAGATCGGTCAGCTACGGGGACGTCTGTCTACGCCTTCGGTGCAATCTCGCTCTCGAGAGTCGTCCCATGCGAGGGCACCGTCGACGAAGACGAAGAAGAATGATGATAAGAAGAAGGAGCAGTTGGTGGTTGTGCGCAACCCCAACGAGCGAGGTGGAATGTAAGTCTAATCCATCACCTATCAATGTTCTCAAACACTATGCTGACTTTCACGTTCAGTCAAATCATACGAAGATGCGATCTACGGGGTATGAAGAGGTCGTCGTCTCAGCACTCTCACTCCGAGGGCGACAAGAGCGACTAAATCCTTACGACTTATTTTTGAGATTGTGGAAATGGGAATAGCGAGGGAATGACGAGTGATTAGCGTGGCGAAGGACAGACTGACGGACGGATAGCAAGAGTATAGCGTTTCCTTTGTGTTTACTTTCTTCTCCTTTTCTGTGTTGGGGCAACATAGCATGCGATGGATCGGTTCGTCGCTTGGGTCTTTCATTGATACTCTTACTCTTTCTCCTTTGTCACTGTGGAATTTGGAATGGGCATGGATACGGAACGGACTAGACATGTAACGGATCGCATGGGCGGATTCTGGAAGACGGTGTGCCCTCAAGGGCGCGAAACAGCATGCATCTTGTAGACTTCTTGTGTCGTATAGCTAGTTACTTGGTCTTGTATTTAGATAGCGCCAGCGTAGGTTATCAGGTAATCATTATTGCCATCCATTGGATCCCCCTGACGCCGTGCTCGTGCCGTAGTTGTAGTTCCCAGCCCCCCGACCTGTCAGATTGCCACGGCCCATCACGTCCTCGGGGGCGCCATCGACTAGCTCAAAAACGTGGCTCCTCCGGAGATATTAGAGCAACAACTAATTCTTAGTCAATATGAACCGACTTGTTGGTTCTGGCAGCGCGAGCCTTTGCCTCCGTCACCGCGCTTAGTCGACCCAGGCCATGTCCGCCAAGAGAGACGTCAACCGATTGGCCGACGCCATACCTCGTGGAGATTCAGCTCCAATAGTTCACGATAAGCGTCTTTGGTGTTCTGACAAGTTTACCACATTCTCGGCTCGGCGAAAAATCTCCTCTCCTACTTTCTCGGTACGATGACAGACAGGATGCCCATTATTGAGACTTATCAGATGGACTGCCAAATTTTCATCCCTGTATGTTTCTCTCTTTTCCCCGCGGGATCCAGAATGTTAAGCTTTTATTACTGTCTTACCTATCCAGCCCACCTCCTTGTGCACCTTGTGGGTAACTTTGAGGGGGGCACCCTACTTTAGGTAATAAGATGAACGCCATGCAGTTTGCTCCGTCAATACTCGTTGATTCTTCTAGAGCTCTTGTGAGGTCATAACCTCCTCATCTTTTCCGTCGAACTCAAGGCCTCTCAAGGTAGATCAATGACGCAGCGTCGATGAAAGCTCTCCTCGGCAGCAATCTGTGTTACCTACTCCCACCTCAACCGAGACGCAAGAGGTAAAGGATTCCAGGGAAAGCCATGGATTCCCGCCGTGTCGCTCAACACCAAAATAGGCGGATGCTCTCGGCGCCACCATGAAGCTGCTGAATCCGGCTTGAGCCCGGTCAGGCACACCTCTCAACAAGCTGCGGTCTAGTCTAGACGCCACAGGAACCTAGGAGCTGGAGAAGACGAATTGGAGGCTCCGATTGGCCTCGTGTGTCTCAGGGACGGATGTGGGAACGTGCGTGGCTGCAAACGCTGAACCGCAACATTCCAGAGCTCCTCATCCAGCCCGGAAACTGGATACTCACGGGAACATCTCACTCAACCCTAGACAAAGGTGTTCAGTCCCGAGCTAGGAATAGACCGGGTGTAACCCCCCGCAGATGTTTATTTCGGTGACCTAAAGGTGGGTAGTCCGTGGTGTATATGAGAAGCTGGCGTTTCCACATTTTCGAATCCCGGTTCTCCTCTCCCTCATCAGCTCATTCCAACTCTCGCTTCACCCGGTATAACCAACACCTTCGCTGTCGTTTCAGTCACTCAACTCCTAGTCAAGTCACTCGACATCACCTCAACCGTCAACATGAAGTTCACAGCTGCCATCATCGCCTTCGCTGGCCTCGCCGCCGCCCAGTCTCTGGCGGACGTCCCTACTTGTGCCCAGAAGTGCTTGGCCGACGCCGTCACCTCCAACGGGAAGTGCACTGTTGGTGACATCTCCTGCCTCTGCAGCGCTGCCAACTACCAGGCTATCGTCACCGCCGGTACTCCCTGCGTCCTCGCTAGCTGCGGTGCCGACGTTGCCGTCAGTAAGTTCATCACCAAAGCCCTTGTCTGCCTCGACATGATCCTAACTCTGGCACTCAAGACCAGGTCCTCCCCGCCGCTGGCAAGATCTGCGCCGCCGTCGCTGGAGGCGGTGGCCCTGCTTCCGCCGCTTCCTCGGTCGTCGCTTCGGCCTCTGCCGCTGCATCTTCCGTCGTTGCCTCAGCCTCCGCTGCCGTCTCCTCCATTGCCTCTGCTGCCACCAGCAAGGCTGCTTCCGCCGCCTCTTCCGTCGCTTCAAGTGCTTCCCGCGCCGTCACGAGCGCTGCCTCGTCCGCCGCCGCTGGCACCACTCGCACTGCTGTTGTCACGAGCGCCACCACCACTCGCAACGGGACCTCCACTGCCACTGCTACCGCTACCCCCGTCACCGTCAACGGTGCTGCTACTCAGGGTCCCGTTGGCCTCCTGGCTGCTCTCGCTCTTGGTGCTCTTGCCTACTTGTAAACGAGTTCGCAAAGCTCCCATGGTTCAATATATGGCATAGCTTATATACTGGGCCACTGTCTTGATGAACTCGACTTCATCTAAGGCGCGTTAGTCCACCAAAACGAGGCGCACAAAATATAGATGTACTAGTTATCCACGTGGCAATCCAAATTATATCTTCTCATGTCATGTGTTATGTTATGACCTCGTCGATCCAATGCCCACACTGTAAGAACTCAGCTTCATCTCCTCTTTGCATACTTCGTCTGGACATTGTATGATACCCTGGCAGTGAGTAGAATGAGCAAGTAGGAGGTCTTCTGCTCAATAATCAGAAGCGTTCCTTCTGTTGGCAGACATGCCCGTGGGCTATCACTGCTGACAGTGCTAATGATACATGTGCTCTCATACGAGTTCTTCCACAGCCTCATTGATCCCAAGCTTTACATGCTTCTTGATACCAACATTATCGTCTCGTACTCGTCATTGCTACTTGCAATCTCATGCTTGCTCATTCCCTGCGGAGTAGGGATAGGTTTCAAGAGTAGCCAAACCAGCCAATCTCAAGAGACTAATAGTGCGGCGTGTGTTCATCGAAGCGGTTGTCGTCGAAACCAGGGAGATCCTGCGGCTGCTGTCCAGCGATGATGCAGTTGTTGACGGCCTCCAGGGCACGATCATTCTGGTGAACCTCTGGCTCCTGAATGTTGCTGGGGTGCCAAGGGGCCATTGGGGCCAAAGGCGCATGCTGCTGGTGCTCGAAGTCATCCAGCGCGAGAGCCGGATGGTACGCGTGGACATCTTCAAAGGGCAGGACTGCATGGCGAGGCAGAGAGTGCGAAAAAATGAGAAGATGAGGCTCCTGAGGAACGTTCAAAATTACATTCGTGTGCTATTTAGGATGTCCAATGGGTCCCTCGTCGTTCTCCTCGTCCGTCATCGCTGCCGCCATGAAGTCTTCGTCTTCCTTTTTCATCTTTCTCAAGTTGTTGCCATCCCAGGTTTTGCGGTCGACATTGGCGCCAGCGGGCATCATGGGAGGAGGTCGCATTTCGGCCAGAGAAGGGAAATTCGCGTAGCCTTCCGACTGAGGCTTTGGCTCATCAACCGTGGGTCTGTTTGCCGCCTGAACAGCGGTGGTAGAGTCGTATTCGGGTTTCTCGGCGGCCACCAGATCGCCAAAGTTGGCCAGAGTGAGGTCCTTCGCGACCCAGTACTTGCCATTGATGAAGATATAGGGCTTGGGTGTTTCTCGACTGTCAGATTATGGAAAACTTAGCTGTAGACATTGGATCTGGTACGTACACGCCAGGCTTCAGACCTTCTGCCATCTTGCTCTGATGGGAGCCTTTGCTGGCAAAGCGAAGTATTCTCAAGTTGGTGGTTGCCTTTGAGGTGTTTGAAGAAGAGGAAGGAAGCTTTGATAATTTGTTTTGCTTTTGAAAGAAGGTCAGTGACGGTATCACAAGAAATTTGTGTGAATTCATGGACGCGGGGCCTTTGCCAAAGCCGTGATAGGCAGTTTTTATGGTCTACATGACTATGGCTGACCCCATGTGAGGCTACAGAACGCTGATGTCTCGGGTTCAGTCGAGGTGTTATTTGAAGCGCTAAATTTCTCTTCTGTATTTCTAGCCAGTTGGTTCTTATATGTACGAGATTGGTTGAGTATCTGCCAGATAAGAGTTCAGTATCATGCAAAACACCAACACATTTACCCGGTGTTGACAAATAGAGCACTTGATACATATTGTCATGTTTTAGTTTAGTGAGAACTTTAAGCAATAAGAGCAAGTTTTCGTCATTCTAAGGTAAATGTACGAGTTTATCATGTATAGTACACAGCATGTATCAAGCCTGTCCAATTTCCCTGGATCAGGAGCTGAAAGTGTGTTAGCAAGTTGTAACATCTGACTCCCACGAGCTTACTTCATGCTGGAGAGTTTGACGAACAGGTTTTGTCACATAGTATAATTTTCAGTCCTCACAGTACTTGAATCCTTGATGTATTGCTCCCTTAACCAATCTACTCGATCCTAAGCCGCTGAGAGAATACATTGATATTTCCTCATCGGTTATCAGATCTTCTCATAAGGAAAGTATTTCCTTACTGTTGTGTATTCAGTCACGTACATCATTCAAGACTGGAAAATTGCTCCCGACTGAAATGTCATCAAGGAGGCTTATCATAGCTAGTTTATATCGAGGCCTCGGTACCTTTAGTGCAGTAGGCAAACATCCTTCCCATGTGCCATATGAACCCTATCATCGTTCACAAAGAGAATGATTCAATGCATGATCATATTCATGAATGCCAAGACTTGGACTCCTTGCTCTATTCTCAATGCACATTGGAAGACTTCAGGGTATGTACATCCAGGCCAAGAGAAAGAGGCGGGTGACATTTTCCAAAGTGAAGCCACAGGCAAGCGAGGTAACGTGACCGAAGCCAAGGAAGGGAAGGAAGGCAGATACGTAAGTAGGCAGGCACGGCAGGCACCTCACCTTAAGTGGTCTTGCCCTTTAAGAAATTCTTTTCGTATGTACTTATGCACAAATCCAGCAGCGTGAACAAAGCGAAACATCATTTGTACGACGCGTCATCGTTTTGATGCAATAATCAATTACACAGTACTGTTCTACTCGTCTTCTGCATCTTCCACTTGCTCTTCACATTCCACCCCCTTCACAATCGTTGCAGAATCAGCCAAGCTTTACCACTCTTGCTCGGGTGCCGTCCAATATGCCAAAAGACCAACCCAGGTCGCCAATGACACGCAGTGGCCTCCAATCATTTACCGCTTACAGGGGTCGGAGCTTGGGGTAAAGGGGGGCCTGGGCAGCGCCGATTACAGCGGTACCCCGCAGCATCGACACCTCGCCGCGCTCGGTTGAGCTCCTCCTCCTCCTCACCTCACATCATTGATAGCTCCATGTCCTGAGGTTCTCGACCCATGGTATGCGGAGATGCGTCGGCATTCACTCGGAGGCAGGCTTTCTATGGTCGACCACACTACCGAACCTCAGTATGGCCTCCGATAGCAGTGTAACTCGTCGAGACAGCTTGCCAGGGGTTCGAAACCGTATGGCCATTGGTCAATCAGGAACTCCTCCGAGCTTCGAGCTCCGAAATCTTCCCAGCTCAGGACCGAGGATCTTCGCGTCTTGGCTACAATGTGTGGAATATAAAAGCCAGCGCGGCCAATTTACCTTTATCATTATGAAAGACAGATCACCTGCAGCTCCTTCTTCCTGACATCCTCTTCTTACACGCTTCCCACCACCATCATGCATCTCCCGCTGCTCCTGTCAGGAGCTGTCTTGAGCTTCATCGCTCCGACCCTCGCCGTGCCTGTCCAGGACAGTCCTCGCCAGCGCCTCCTCGACGGCAAGGGTCTTCCTACAAAGTACCGCAGTGGTTCGCCTCCCTACACTCCTGGCCACAAGGACAAGTACGATAGTCCCATCGACTCCATTGGCGACGAGCTCGATCCCTTGCCATATCGCAATGGCCTCGGAGCCTCTGTTCTCGGTCCTTGGAACGAGGCTCGATCCAGACAGAACCCGGATCTCGTTCGACCTCCAGGCACTGATCACGGCAATCTTGCCAACATGCGTTGGAGTTTTGCTGATTCTCACATTCGCATCGAGGTCCGTTTGTCCGCATAGGTTCCGCTGTAGCTTAATGGTACTAATTAGTTCTGTTTGTAGGAGGGTGGTTGGACTAGACAAACCACGATTCGCGAGCTTCCTACTAGTATCGAGCTGGCCGGTGTTAACATGCGCCTAGACGAGGGGGTCGTTCGCGAACTCCACTGGCACAAGGAAGCTGAATGGGCATATGTCCTTGATGGCAGCTGCCGTATCACCGCCATTGACTACGAGGGAGGCAACTTTATCGATGACGTCCAAAAAGGCGATCTCTGGTTTGTTTGAAATTGTTTTCTGCTTCTTTTCCTCCTGCTCAATAGTTGTGGCCAGGTACTTCCCCTCCGGTGTTCCTCACTCCCTTCAAGGGCTCGGCGAGAACGGAACCGAGTTTCTCTTAATCTTCGACGACGGACACTTTTCTGAGGAGTCTACTTTCATCCTTACGGACTGGCTTGGTATGGTGCCACCGAGAGACAAGAAGACTTCAGATTGACTGACAACACAACAGCACACACCCCCAAGTCTGTCATCTCAAAGAACTTCAAGCTGGCTCCCGAGGTCTTTGCAAACATCCCCGAGGGAGAGAAGTACATCTTCCAAGGAACGACACCCGGCTCCATCAGCCACGAGGCCCCTGACGGAAAAGGCGTCAAGAAATCAAAGCACCAGTTCACGCACAAGATGCTTGCGCAGGAACCCAAGAAGACCTCTGGCGGCGAAGTCAGAGTAACCGACTCCAAGAACTTCCCCATCTCAAAGACCATTGCTGCTGCCCACGCCATCATCGAGCCCGGCGCCCTTCGTGAGATGCACTGGCACCCCAACGCCGACGAGTGGTCCTTCTTCATCAAGGGTCGCGCCAGAGTCACGATTTTCGCCTCAGAAGGAAACGCCAGGACATTCGACTACGTGCCAGGCGACGTTGGCATCGTCCCGAAGAACATGGGTCACTTTGTGGAGAACATTGGCGACGAACCCCTCGAGATGCTCGAAATCTTCCGCGCCGACGAATTCAGAGACTTCTCCCTATTCCAGTGGATGGGCGAGACGCCCAAGAAGCTGGTCGTCGACCACCTCTTCGCCAACGATCCCGATGCTGGAGAGAAATTCTGGGACAAGGTCAAGAGCGCCGAGAAGGATGAGATCACCAAGGACACTGGCGTCGATGCCGAGGATGTTCAGACCGAGACGGAGGAACTCTGATGGTCATACAACAACACGCAACGGAAGCATCATGCATGGAAACATTGGAAACGGGAACGAGGTGGCTGAGTCCTTTGCCTTCGGTCATCGTCTGTGCTCTGGCGGTATTTTGTTTCGTTGGGCGATGAAACATCTACAGCCAGGGGACAAAAACATCATCTCATTTGTCGACAGAAATTGTTGATCAGTCAATAATACCATTTCATTATTCTTGGCAGCAAAGTCTATGATGTCTAGAAACAGAACCAATCTCGCCCCTTCGCTCTTTGGCTTTTGGAACGCTGTTCCCACCTTTGATACTATGTCTTCCACTGCCATCAGACAAAAGCCTTTTTTTTCCTTTTTTTTTTTTGGCTCAGAGTCTATGAAGTCAAGGTAACCTACTCAAAGTTTACAGACAGAACTGGGCTTGGAAAGGGTATCCATGCCAGCTACTCCAGAAAGCTCTCGTCCAAACATAATCGGATTACTCAGTTCCCGCTGCCAAGTCCAGGCCCTTGTATCACCATCAAGTCAGCCGCGCATTGATCGCCTCCGTTGCTTCTCAAACTAGAGATAGAGCCCCCGTATGCCACGACTATTGCTCTCTTTCACCATCCTCTTCCATCACCGACACATCATTTACATAACTACCTCTTTCTCTTACCGACAGGTCTCCGAAAGACGTCCGTAGCTACGGACCCAGTCTAACCAAATATCGTTGCCTCAAATAGATCTAATGGAAAGAGGGGTGGGTGCCATGTTAGTTGATTGCAGCTTTCATCCCTCGGTGTGGAAGGAATATGACTGCAATAGGTTGTAGCAGCCAGGTTCGCGACGCCCATCTGTGACCCGCGGCCAGGCTCTCGTTGCATGCGACGAGAGAGAACCCCCCTCTGGACACGCCCCCTTGGGCCCTCGTGCCCGATTTAGGCTTATCGCAGGGTGGGAGCCGGCGGTAAGAAACGCAGAAAATAAGAAGAGAATAACGGGAAAGGAGATCCTAGGGCCCAAGGGGGGATCCAGGCCGGGGGCCTTGAGGCTAGGGGTGCGTAGAGCCGTAAGATGGATCAAGAAGGTGGTGACCGGTGACCGAAGCGTCGAGAGCGACGAGCAGAAAAGAATCGCAATCCTCATGGAATGAACCCCGCACGGCGACAACACCATCAATCCGGGCCAATAGTTCCGTTTCAGCAACGAGTCGAAGGCAGGCATTCCCAGGTGCTGAGGCGGTAGTGGTGGTTGTGGTGCAGGAGGAGAAAGCTGACAAGGCCGTTTCCGCTACCTGCATCGTCCAATATTTTGAGCCTTCACTCTTTTCGGTCCATTTCCCGGTGCGGGCAGCAGGCCTGTAGGGTTAGGAACTTCTGTATGGGTGTGAACGTTGCGGTTGATGACACCCATTCCTATTCTTGGAAAAGTTGGAGACGGACAGAGAGAGGAGACTGGAGAGCAAGAAAAGAAGATGGCAAAGAGGGGTAAATGCGAGCACCAAGGG